AAACCCTGGTTCGGTGCCTGAGTTTCAGGGCAGGTCGGTCTGATGACAGACCGAAAATGGCCCTTTGTTTCAGGCTAAAAAGGCTACTGCCATTTTTAATCTGAAACGACACAGGGTCTGTAGGCCCCTGTTTTTCAGGCCTTCGAGCTGAACAGACACAGGGCCTGTAGGCCCTGGTTTTCAGGCTTTCAGCCTGAGGGACGCAGGGTCTGGAAAATGGCCCTCGTGTGCAGGTGCAGCATGTAACACCTGCCGAGGACCCAGATCCTCGCAGATGTCACAATTTGTTCCATTTTTCAGAGTAACAAATAAAAAAAGAACAACATACAGCAGCTCATATAGCATCTCCCTGTCTTGTCCGAGATCATCAGGATGGTCTAGAGGAAAAATCTCCATAAAAAAAGGCATCTTGCTGGCTAGCACCTACGCGCTCACGGGCGAGCAGGGAAGGAGCAGGCAGCCATAGCCGAGCTGCGCTGCTGTAAGCTGGGTGTGGCGCAGGGTGGTCCTTGGGTGCAAGTGGCATCTGTGTGTTGGGGAGCAAGGTTGTGAGTAAGGCGAGAGACATACCTGGTGCTGGAAGCGTGCGACATTGGTCGCTGTATGCTCGTACTTCGGGAGAGCTGTTGTCGTCAACTTCGGCATTGTAGTATGGGCTAGATAGGATCTGCCACATGTAGTCTGGGCGCCGAGCGCCAGATAGGATATCAACTCTGGTTCTTCGTTGATGATGACGGGACTGTTTCAGCATTGTCAATTAAAAAAAAAAAAAAAAAAAGAAGAAGAAAGAAAGAAAGAACAAACACTCCTCATGATTTAAGATATCTCTTTGAAAAATGTCACAATTTGTTCCACTTTCCAGAGTACCAAGAAAAAAAAAAAAAAAAAAAAAAAAACAAAGAAGATTCAGCTCATACACCAAGTACCTCGTATAGCATCTCCTCGTCTTGTCGAAGATCATCAGGATGGTGTAGAGGAAACATGTCAATAAATAGGCATAATGCATTCCGCCGAACATCAGGATTGGGCATCTAGCACAAGAGACGAGTTCCAGCACACATGGTTAAATCTTGCAGGCCATGTCAATCGCTGACAACAGACTGTACAAAAAAGGAAAGCCACGAGCTGGAAGAAAAACATATTTCATATCTCTTTAATAATCGACGAAGTACAAGATTCACTGCTGCAGGTAATACAGCAGCAGCAGCAGCAGCAGCTAGTCCTGTCCGTTCATCTGGCCGCGGTCATGAAAGAGCAGCTATCAAAGGCACTGTAAATTTCCAGCCGCCACAATCTCAAGGTACAGCATAGCACACTCTTACAATTCAGGCCAGGGATCAATCCCTCCACTTTGTGCTGAGGACTCGACACATACTGTCAGCACCACCACATTTCACATTTCTATCCTCTGATGCTTTCTGCTGATACCGTTCTGAGACCGGCTTCTTCTAGATATACCCCATAGGCCAACCTAGCCGTTAGCCTGCTCCGTAGTAAAAGGCACTGCACACACTCGTTCTTGTGGCATTTGCTACTGTACTATAGTTCAGACTATTCAATGTGTTCGAAATGCTGTTGCTGAGGTTGCTAATGTTACTTTTCAAGAGTGCAGCATCACAGTCAGTGTCCCTTTGCTTGTCCAGTCTCTATCGAGTCATCTACTGAAACAAGTTTGTTACACATGCAAAGGCAGAGCCACAAGCTGAAAGCAAGCACGTTGTGCAAGTCTATTAAACCGCCAGTACCTTTGCCCAGTCCTTGCCGAACCAGTCCATGGCTGGTTCCCGATGCTGTTGAGGGGCAGGTCGAAAAAGGAGTGGATGCTGCTTTCAGAAAAGGAAAAAAGAAAAAGAAAACAAAAAAAACAGATGAGGGGTGGCCTTGGTTGTGCTGTTGGCGGGAACCGCGAAAGAGAAGACCTGGAGTAGCGTTCAAAAGAGCAAAAAAAAGAAATAAAAATAAGGAGACGAGGGCCTGGCTCCAGTCCTCACCAATCCAAAACCCAAATGAATTTATGAAATGAATATGCCACTAGAGCATGGAAAGATACGCTCCCATAGTGCCTAAGCGCATGGCGTCTTCTGGTGGATGGGTGTCCCTATCATGGTGTCTGCCAGTTGTCAGAGGGGGGGGGGAAATAAGATTCCTAACTGTCGGATCTTCTATGGAGATCCAATTCAAATCTGGCCCGCTCACCACGTGCAGCGCCTCGCTCCAGTACTCACCAAAATGTGCGAAAAGGGAATTTATCATTCGCTAGAACATGGGAAGATACACCGGCATTGTTTTTTTGTCTTTTGTGCATGCAGAAAGTAGCAGAGCCTGGCGTAGGGTAGATCTTTGTATGAGTCAGCCTGGCAATGACTTTTCTGCTAGAACATGGAAAGTTACGCAGCCATTTTTACATTCAGAGGAATCGTGAAGTCTGTTCTCCATGCCAGATCCTTCGTTTCTTTTCTTTTTCTTCACACTTGTGCTCGAAAATCAGATCTAGCATGAAGCTGTGCCAACCCTGTGGGGGCACCTTCCGGCATGCTCGGAGGAGAAAAAAGAAAAGCAGGGAAAGGTACTGGCGGTTTAAACAACCAGTATCCCAGAACATAGGCTGCTGAACTGAGCCTGCAGACTCTCTGCGGAACGGAAAGCGGCCCTCTGCCAGTCTACTGTTGTTTTTCTTTGTGCTCTGGTTGATGTATGAGCTGCCAGTAAGAATATGTGGATCTTCAACTACATTCTCTGGCATTTATGTGAATTTCCAACTACCTCTTTCCTACAGTTTTGTTTTTTCTCCTTCCCTCCCTCCCTCCC